CCCCCCCCCCCCCCCCCCCCCCCCAGTGACTTTAAATAAATATTAAAATAAATTGTTGAAAACCAGCATGTGAAAACAAAGTCCTAATTAAACCTTTTGTCCATAAGAATCTAAAATCTTTGGATTAAATCGGATAAAACCTGTTTTTTAAAGTTTCCAAACCAAACTGAACAGAAATGTTTCAAAGACCAAAAATATTCCCACATTTATCACAAGTGCCCGATTACTGAAAGTATGTGATGTTTCAAGAGTTTAAAGGAGCTTTATTTTATTTAAATTTTTTACCAAGCTTGCTAACTTTTCTTCAACTTGTCCAAAAAGCTATGATTCAACTTTTATTTTCTAACCATATACATAAGAGCAAGAAAAACGACTACAGTAGTCCCTCGCTACTTCACAGTTCATTTTTCGCAGACTCATTCTATTGTGGTTTTTCAAAGTAAGATTGGACATGACACACAATTGGCTGATTGATGAATGAACTGCATGATTGACATGGAATTTTAATTTAAAATCAATTGTTTAAAATTATTTAACACCTGCTGCGCCTTTGAGCCCAGAGCTGCAGAAAAAGCTTCCTCCTGCAGCTGATCAGCTGGAGAAGTGGGCGTGGCCAAGAATGCTGGCCAATGGCAGAGAGCAGCCAGTGCCAGGGAGCTGAAATCATGACTTTCTGTGCTCTTTTAGAGCGTTTAGAGTTTAGAAACATTGTGTAGAATATTGCAAGAGTGTGTGAAGGGTTTAAAACTCCTTTACATCTTTGCCACCTGCAAGCACTCTTTGCCACGCCCACTTCTCCGCTCGGCACACAGAACAGCTGATCAGCTGCAGCAGGAAGTTTATCCTGCAGTAATGGCTGCACAAACGTGCAGCAGGTGCTAAATATTTTTAAATAATTGATTTTAAATAAAAATGCCATGCCGATCGTGCGGCTCATCCATCAATCAACCAATTGGATGTCATGTCCAATCTTATTTTGAAAAACCACGATAGAGCAAGTCCGCAAAAAACAAACCGTGAAGTAGTGAGGGACTACTGTGTGTGTATATATATATATAT